CTCTAGTGGCCCCCACCTAGTCGTAAAAGCCTAAACATTCACATTCTTTCTCTGTTACGGCGCCTAAGTTATGACCTCAGCTCCCTGTCTTTCTGCTCTCTGTAAAGGTGGGGGTATGGAATGTGGTCTATCTCCCCTGTCCTAGACACAGAGTCTCCTGCATACAACCTTGCTTTTCATGATTCAGCAGTAAAACATGTCAAGAACACAATGTGAGACATTCACAGCAGATCAAGGATACAGAGTGATGCACACTTTATCTAATGAACTACTAAATGAATATGTTCTTTTAACCCAAAAGTATAATGAGAACTAAACTACATACACAGCACACCATCTAAACTAAAGGATAATATATGTCCTACAGGTGTTATCATAATTCAACTACTTTAACTACAGATATAAGATAACATATGATAACAGAATAATCTCACATGAGCCATTTAAATTGTAAGAGAAACCAGTTATTTCTTGTAAAACAATTCAATAACAAATCAATCAGCTTTAATTTGAACTCATTTTCACAAGCATAACACATTCAAGTGTTGATTTAATAATTCATGAATAACAACACTGGCATTACAAAAACAACAAGAATTAATGAATTATTAGAGTATTTTGATAACAACTGCATCTTCCATTTTCAAAAAGACAGAATCTTAAAGACAGTCTTTACAGAAGAATCCATCATCAGCACAGATGCCATTTTCTTCTCCACAAGTCTCATGGAACCAGGTGCTGCAGTTCGCAGCTGATCCACTCCTCAGTGGCCTTTGGGTCACTTTTGTCTCCATAGACTGCTTTACATGCTTTGCAGGGCAGGTCGTCCTTCTTTGCGCCTTTGCATCTTCTAGTCTTTTCTTTCTTTTTAGATTGCACTGCCTTGATGGAAATGTAGTATATGTTCATGACTCGTGAGGACCAATGATGGAGGCTTAGCCCTCTTCCTGACAGTCCTCTGTCGTTTTGGCAGGGGACACAGATCACTGAATGTAACACAAGTTGAGGTTTGATGTGAACAGGTACGTACAATGAAGCTCTTTATATCTTATTGTTATAATCAATGTATGTCGTAAGTGACTATTTTAAAGATATGATTCTTACCTCTGATTTCTTTTTGTTTTTTTGTTTTTATCCTTTGGTGTTTTTTGAGATTTATATCTTTAAGGCTAATATGTCATACTTACACATTTGGGTTTTATTATTTACTGCACAAAGTGTATTGTAGAGAAGTTTGGGAAGTAGACTCTTACTGTTACAGGATATTATATTAGTTTTACAGTATTTTTAGGCTAAAATTGGAAGTGGAAATTTCTATGATAATGTAAAAATGGATAAGAGAATGTTTCTCATAGTTATGTAGGCTATTACCTGCAGATGAACTCTTCTAACTCTTCTTCATTGGCTCCCTTTTAAATCTAGAATTTAATTTAAAATCCTTTTCCTCACATTCAAAATCCGATGTGCGATATTCTCATTGCTTTCTGGAATTTATTGTTAATCATTTACTTATGTAAATTTCATAATCTGTCAAAAAAAACAAACAAACAATATAATCCAAAGTACATCATTCTATTGTTCCCTTTCGCATGTTTACAGCCCTCATATATATACATGTTACACTGCTCAAACAAATATAACGACTCAGTCCTACCGTGCAATATACCATTTTTCAGTCTTATTATTTACATCCTACATATGTTTATGTATTATGTAAGCACGTGCAGCTTTGTGATTTTGTTTGGTCAACGTATATCAAAATTCATGCTGGAAATAACTTTTACTTCCATGGCATGCCTTTACTTCAAAATATAACACTGTGCAACAATATAATTGAGCTTAAAAGATTCAGTCACCCTGGACCAACCATTGCATGGTTATAGACTCTAACACACTGACTGTTATTGAGCTAGACAAGTAATCATAAAATGTTACTTCTATAAGTGCTTACTTTTCTACTTACTGTTCTACAACACAGTGTGTCCTAAATTTCACATGCTCTTGTTACAGACCTAGGATGAGACATTCTTTCAATATGCCACCAACTATATACTTCTAAACACAAATGATTACATGCAGTATTCTACCATATGCAAACTTATATCATTAAAAGATTACACTGACTACTAAGTACAATTTTCCATTGACACACACACACAAAAACGACATGTAGTCACAACATCCAAGGATACATACTCAGACCATATACCATCAGTATGCTTTTTATGTTATTATTGCTTATCATTTATTATTGCTTTTATAGATTAAACATGCAAAATATTAAGCAATGTTTTTTGTTGGTGGAGCATTATGTCTTTATGAAAACATAGCAATGCAGTGTTCTAATGGTGGTATTACATTCTGAAAGGAAGCACTGTTGAATTAATGGTTGTTTTCATTTGGTAGGAAGTATCTTAATAACATTGTTATTGATAGTCTTACTTATCTTCTCATGGAAACCCTCAGCCTGACTATCGTGGGCCTTTCTTGCGTGTTGTCTCTGTTCCTGCCAGAATTCTTTCCAGCTTTCTTCCAGAGTACGGTGATGTGGGTGTTAATTTAATTAATTATTCTTAGTTGGCATAGATACGGTGTAATGTGGAGTGAATGTCTGTATAGAAGCCCCACCTTTGCCCCCCAAAGTTTTGTTGTTGGTTTAATTTGTTTGTTCGTTTTAAAAAAAAGAAGCTTTGAGCGGTCGAGTATAACGGAACAATAGCGCTCCCTAGTGGCTGGCAGACCCCCCCTCCCCTCCCGTTGATGTCTGGGGTAGGCAGGGAAACAGGTTCAACCATCAGCCCCGTTGTGAACGGACGTGGGTCCGTTATTTTTGTCCTTTTATACATACACTATCCACCGTGAGAGCGACTCGACATCGTTGAAACACCAGAAGCTGTTTGCTTAATTGAAAAGAAACGGACTCTCCCATCAATTAGACGGCACCGACTTTTTGTTCCCGTCTGACATGGCGATCGCACACGTAGCCACCGAGTACGTCTTTTCCGACTTTTTGTTAAAGGACCCGACGGAGACCAAGTACAAAGGCATCCGTCTCGAGTTGGCTGTGGACAAAATAGTCACGTTTCTGGCGGTGGGACTGCCTTTGTTCCTCATCTCGCTCGCCTTTGCTCAGGAGGTCTCAGTGGGTGA